CTCCTCTTGTACCTGTCTGGGCAGTCGCTGTTGGCATTTAGGCACATTCCTATGTTCGTTTCCTTAGTGTAGACTGCAGTGTGGAAACCTCCGCTCTTTTCCATGACTGTATATATATATATATATATATATATATATATATATATATATATATATATATATATATATATAATTATATATATATATATATAATTATATATATATATATAATATATATATATATATATATATATATATATATATATATATATATATATATATATATATATATATAATATTGTTGAGCATAATGACATTCGGGTGCAGTAGAATTAAGTATAATAATGAAGAGGCAATGAACTTGCTTCTTTAGTACAAGCTTCAAGTTAGTTCCTCAGTGTGCAAATTGATTGAAACTGTGAACGCCAAGAAATCTGGACTCCGCCTGTCAAAGGTTACCGGGGAATACAGACCTGGTTAGGCATATGGGAATGTCAGACCAACAAGCCTGGAACCCCACTTCAGCCAATCATCATCCAGATACAGACTGGCTAAGCGACTCAACTGCTTGCTGACCCTTATGTACCTTGTGCTTTCAGCCTGAAGTCTCCAAAGCCTGATATCTGGTGTCACGTGTTGTCCTGGGTAATGTACGTGTAGTCGTCAGTGTCACGTGTTGTCCTGGGTGTATCACGTGTTGTCCTGGGTGTATCACGTGTTGTCCTGGGTGTATCACGTGTTGTCCTGGGTGTATCAAGTGTTGTATTGGGTAATGTACGTGTTGTCCTGGGTGTGTCACGTGTTGTCCTGGGTGTATCACGTGTTGTCCTGGGTAATGTACGTGGTGTCCTGGGTGTATCATGTGTTGTCCTGGGTGTATCACGTGTTGTCCTGGGTAATGTACGTGTTGTCCTGGGTGTATCACGTGTTGTCCTGGGTGTATCACGTGTTGTCCTGGGTGTATCACGTGTTGTATTGGGTAATGTACGTGTTGTCCTGGGTGTATCACGTGTTGTCCTGGGTGTGTCACGTGTTGTCCTGGGTGTGTCACGTGTTGTCCTGGGTGTGTCACGTGTTGTCCTGGGTGTGTCACGTGTTGTCCTGGGTGTGTCACGTGTTGTCCTGGGTGTGTCACGTGTTGTCCTGGGTGTATCACGTGTTGTCCTGGGTGTATCACGTGTTGTCCTGGGTGTATCACGTGTTGTCCTGGGTGTATCACGTGTTGTCCTGGGTGTATCACGTGTTGTCCTGGGTGTATCACGTGTTGTCCTGGGTGTATCACGTGTTGTCCTGGGTGTATCACGTGTTGTCCTGGGTGTATCACGTGTTGTCCTGGGTGTATCACGTGTTGTCCTGGGTGTATCACGTGTTGTCCTGGGTGTGTCACGTGTTGTCCTGGGTGTGTCACGTGTTGTCCTGGGTGTGTCACGTGTTGTCCTGGGTGTGTCACGTGTTGTCCTGGGTGTGTCACGTGTTGTCCTGGGTGTATCACGTGTTGTCCTGGGTGTATCACGTGTTGTCCTGGGTGTATCACGTGTTGTCCTGGGTGTATCACGTGTTGTCCTGGGTGTATCACGTGTTGTCCTGGGTAATGTACGTGTAGTCTTGGGTTTCACGTGTTGTCCTGGGTGTATCACGTGTTGTCCTGGGTGTACGAAGAACAGCTTGCTCCTTATTCTGATGTTAGTTATCCTTGTGTGTGTGCAATAAATCTTGTGTGTTGTATAAGGCTTATTGCAGACAGCTTGCTCCTCCTCTTACTAAATTAGTACTTCAAAAGTATATTATTTGTACTGTATAAGTGGACCATTTCTCTCGCAATCTCTTCACTGATCTTATCTCACCTGATCCCTGTTTGTCCCCTTAGCAAGCACTAGCCCCGTGTGTGCCTGTCCCCTTAGCAAGCACTAGCCCCGTGTGTGCCTGTCCCCTTAGCAAGCACTAGCCCCGTGTGTGCCTGTCCCCTTAGCAAGCACTACCCCGTGTGTGCCTGTCCCCTTAGCAAGCACTAGCCCCGTGTGTGCCTGTCCCCTTAGCAAGCACTAGCCCCGTGTGTGCCTGTCCCCTTAGCAAGCACTACCCCGTGTGTGCCTGTCCCCTTAGCAAGCACTACCCCGTGTGTGCCTGTCCCCTTAGCAAGCACTAGCCCCGTGTGTGCCTGTCCCCTTAGCAAGCACTACCCCGTGTGTGCCTGTCCCCTTAGCAAGCACTAGCCCGTGTGTGCCTGTCCCCTTAGCAAGCACTAGCCCCGTGTGTGCGTATTGTAGGTCTGGGAGACCTGTTGCATGCTAAACCTCATACACAAATAAAGTTTATGAACGGCGTTGTCTACACTTCGTGTTCTCTAATGCTATTTATCATATTTACATTTAAATGTGTGTTGAGTTAAGTTGAACAACTACTTGGCCCAACCCATCCCCTTCACACACACGTCCTGTGCTGTGTGTTCATTTATGACCGCTTCTTCAACTCTTGCTCACTTTTTAAATAGTTTTTTTCTAAGAATCTTATTTGGTTATCATTCTGCCCCCTGGCTCCTCCCAGCCCCTCCATCACCACCCCCTGGCTCCTCCCAGCCCCTCCATCACCACCCCCTGGCTCCTCCCAGCCCCTCCATCACCAGCTATTACACCGCTCCTCCTCTCTGCTGAGGTCCGGTGTCTTGCTTTTCCTCGTAGCTCAAGTCCTTCAGCTCAAGATGATGCTTTAATGTATATTTTTTGTATATTTTATAGATTTCCTTTCTATTTTTCCAATTTAGGGCCGCGTGTCAGGCTGCATTTTCAGGAAACGGTCTCACATAGGTCGTATATTGCACAGAAAGCTTCCTGCACATTTCTCAAGGGTGTCTGGACGTTGGTAAATGTTGGAGATATTACAGAGGTTTACTGGGCCGCGCCACTCATCCTGTGAGTGGACCAGCGGCCACAGCGGCAGGTACAACACCCCCAATATGTATGAGTTGTTCTTCCTCTAACTTGAACCCAGACAGCTGGGACATGCTTAACAATCTCAAGTAAACAGATTATCAATGAAGAAGATTAACATTAACCTACCCCTAAACTTATGTTATCTTGCAGGAACTTACGATTATCTTGCTATAGTTGACAAAGTGTTGTCCCTCACTCAATGAATAGGGGCTTATTAGTCTACATATATTCTTAATGTCTCTCAGAAGTGCACAGGCAGTGGTGGAGGCCGTCACTCTCACCACAGGCAGTGGTGGAGGCCGTCACTCTCACCACAGGCAGTGGTGGAGGCCGTCACTCTCACCACAGGCAGTGGTAGAGGCCGTCACTCTCACCACAGGCAGTGGTGGAGGCCGTCACTCTCACCACAGGCAGTGGTGGAGGCCGTCACTCTCACCACAGGCAGTGGTGGAGGCCGTCACTCTCACCACAGGCAGTGGTGGAGGCCGTCACTGTCACCACAGGCAGTGGTGGAGGCCGTCACTCTGACCACAGGCAGTGGTGGAGGCCGTCACTCTGACCACAGGCAGTGTGGAGGCCGTCACTCTCACCACAGGCAGTGGTGGAGGCCGTCACTCTCACCACAGCAGTGGTGGAGGCCGTCACTCTCACCACAGGCAGTGGTGGAGGCCGTCACTCTCACCACAGGCAGTGGTGGAGGCCGTCACTCTCACCACAGGCAGTGGTGGAGGCCGTCACTCTCACCACAGGCAGTGGTGGAGGCCGTCACTGTCACCACAGGCAGTGGTGGAGGCCGTCACTGTCACCACAGGCAGTGGTGGAGGCCGTCACTGTCACCACAGGCAGTGGTGGAGGCCGTCACTGTCACCACAGGCAGTGGTGGAGGCCGTCACTGTCACCACAGGCAGTGGTGGAGAGCCGTCACTGTCACCACAGGCAGTGGTGGAGGCCGTCACTGTCACCACAGGCAGTGGTGGAGGCCGTCACTGTCACCACAGGCAGTGGTGGAGGCCGTCACTGTCACCACAGGCAGTGGTGGAGGCCGTCACTCTCACCACAGGCAGTGGTGGAGGCCGTCACTCTCACCACAGGCAGTGGTGGAGGCCGTCACTCTCACCACAGGCAGTGGTGGAGGCCGTCACTCTCACCACAGGCAGTGGTGGAGGCCGTCACTCTCACCACAGGCTGTGGTGGAGGCCGTCACTCTCACCACAGGCAGTGGTGGAGGCCGTCACTCTCACCACAGGCAGTGGTGGAGGCCGTCACTCTCACCACAGGCAGTGGTGGAGGCCGTCACTCTCACCACAGGCAGTGGTGGAGGCCGTCACTCTCACCACAGGCAGTGGTGGAGGCCGTCACTCTCACCACAGGCAGTGGTGGAGGCCGTCACTCTCACCACAGGCAGTGGTGGAGGCCGTCACTCTCACCACAGGCAGTGGTGGAGGCCGTCACTCTCACCACAGGCAGTGGTGGAGGCCGTCACTCTCACCACAGGCAGTGGTGGAGGCCGTCACTCTCACCACAGGCAGTGGTGGAGGCCGTCACTCTCACCACAGGCAGTGGTGGAGGCCGTCACTCTCACCACAGGCAGTGGTGGAGGCCGTCACTCTCACCACAGGCAGTGGTGGAGGCCGTCACTCTCACCACAGGCAGTGGTGGAGGCCGTCACTCTCACCACAGGCAGTGGTGGAGGCCGTCACTGTATTACATGTTATAAGGAAAGCTTTAACACCTGATACACTAACGAACACGGGATTGTAATGTAGTAATGATCTAGATCAAACTCATACACGAAACTGTACTATGATGAAATAATGAACAGTATCTAGTAACACAGTGTGTGAATGTCAATATAATTTATTTCTAGAACTTTACACTTAATAAAAGTGTATACTTTACACTTTACACTGACCGCCTTCTTGTTACTATACAACCAGTGTCAGTATTCCTCTGCTGTACCGGGAGAGTCACTGACCGCCCACAGTCCGTTGTTCCCCTAATGTTCCAGCGAGTTTTTCATCGTCAAATGTTGCTCTCTTTCCCTACACCATTATATTGTATTAGATGTAATCATGGTCCAGTTTTTCTAACATGGTTGTCCGAGGCTGTGGAGAACAGGAAGGCTCGTACAGCAGTCTGGTTGGCGGTGTGATCTCCAAGGCCTCCAAATCTGACGGAGAAATAATTTTTGTTTCATCTATGGGTCATTGAATGAAAGGATAAGGCCTTATTGTAACATGGAATTCAGTAAACAATTGTAGTCACCTATCTTGAAGCATCTCAAAAAGTAGGTTAACCTCTAATGGGACAGGCACATGGAGTTGAGATCAAATGTGTCGTGAGCATTTTGTTTTCAACTCTCTCATCCATCTTCTTGTGATCCTTGACCTTCTTACCAAGGATGTGGTGGATGGCAGTAACTCCAGGGAAGCTCCTAGGAACGTGCTGTCTTCAGGTTAACTTTTAGAGATGTCACGTAAAGCATTCTTCACCAGCTCTATAATATGTCCATATGAAAATGTTTTCTCTCACTGAGAAAGATCAGGGCATATTTTGGGAGGCGTTTTCCTTGAATAGAACAAAGAGCGATATCAATAATTCTAGAACTCGTCTTCTCTGTTTCTTATGTTCTTCTTTACTAAGGGTGTGTCAGCCTCGGTAATCTCGGTGTCTAAGCACCACAACATCTACACGGCGTCTAACAATGCACAAACAAGGATTCATCAAAGACCAAATTTTTTACACACAACAGATCATTTCCAGAGATTTTCTGACCCACAATACAGCAAGAGTCAACAGACGACAATAGATGATTAGACACCGAGGAATTACTACATATCAAACATCTCAATCAGCTATTAACAATCATGTACATACTACCATCCTGAAGCCCAGGGAAGAATACCCAACACACTGTCCCTCTCTGTAACTAGCTCATCAACATTGTAACTTGCTTAGCTAAATGACTTGTCCCTAAGCCCATTATGTGCCGCTGTAACCCTTTCCACTACCGCCCACAAGATGGGTATGGTGTGCCTTATAAATGAACTAGACTTAAACTAACCTCTCAACATTAAAATGTTGCAAGTTGCAACACCTCCCTTCCCCTCATCCTTATTGGATGTAGTCAGTTGCTCCAGCTAATGTGTAGCCTTTCCCACTCTGCCTTGAGGAAATGTTGACAGGTTCAACGAGATGAGTCTCTTAGTGTCAGTCAATATATTCACGAGTCAGTCACCACCAAGTGTGCCTAACCTGTGCCTCTCATACTGATGTATACGAGACAGGGCCTAACCTGTGCCTCTCATACTGATGTATACGAGACAGGGCCTAACCTGTGCCTCTCATACTGATGTATACGAGACAGGGCCTAACCTGTGCCTCTCATACTGATGTATACAAGACAGGGACAGGCAGACAGAGGTAAACAGAGACAGAATCAAACAGCCTGAAAGACCGACAGAGAGAAAAAGAGGGAGAGACAGAGGGAAAGAGAGACAGAAAGACAAAGGGAAAGAAATACGTAGATAGAAATTATAAGATCCAAACAGAGAGAGAGTGACAGAGTGAAAGTGAGGGCGAGAAGGGGGGGGGAGACAGTCTGACTGACACAGGGGTTGAAATGTGAGGGAAGGGTGAGTATAGGGTGGGTGAGTATAGGGTGGGTGAGGATGAGGAGAGGAGAGGAGAGGGAGGGATATGGGAAGCGAGGAGACGTGAAAGAGGGAGAGAGTGAAGACTGTTGTTTTAGATTGTAACTCAGAACGAAATGTCCATGTGGCAGGGGCTATAGTGAGCCCGAGGGGGGGGGAGAGAAAGAGAGGGGAGGTAGGGGGGAGGAGAGAAAGGGGAGGAAGGAGGGAGGAGAGAGAGGGGGAGAGGAGGAGAGCGAGACCACCGGCGTCGCCATTAAGTATACTTTACATTCAGTATATAATAAAGAGCATAGATATATATTGCATAAGAGATTTAAAATGTATGTCTGAAAATCATTTGCACTAAATTCTAAATGTAATATATATAATCTTCATCATTCTATAAAACTTAAAATATTGATTATAAATAAAATTTACATATAATAAAAAAAGATTAAGAAAGAAACAAACTTATTAGCCACAATAAGTTTGCATTATATGTAAATCTTTATTATTCAATAGAGTTATAAAGAAAAGGACCTCAAGATGCCCCCCCACTGTGGACGTTGTCAGTAAGAGGACGAGGCTCAGGGCGCCTCACCCGTCGTGGACGTTGTCAGTAAGAGGACGAGGCTCAGGGCGCCTCACCTGTCGTGGACGTGGTCAGTAAGAGGACGAGGCTCAGGGCGCCTCACCTGTCGTGGACGTTGTCAGTAAGAGGACGAGGCTCAGGGCGCCTCACCTGTCGTGGACGTGGTCAGTAAGAGGCGAGGCTCAGGGCGCCTCACCTGTCGTGGACGTGGTCAGTAAGAGGCGAGGCTCAGGGCGCCTCACCTGTCGTGGACGTGGTCAGTAAGAGGCGAGGCTCAGGTCGCCTCACCTGTCGTGGACATGGTCAGTAAGAGGCGAGGCTCAGGTCGCCTCACCTGTCGTGGACATGGTCAGTAAGAGGCGAGGCTCAGGTCGCCTCACCTGTCGTGGACGTGGTCAGTAAGAGGACGAGGCTCAGGTCGCCTCACCTGTCGTGGACGTTGTCAGTAAGAGGACGAGGCTCAGGTCGCCTCACCTGTCGTGGACGTAGTCAGTAAGAGGACGAGGCTCAGGGTCGCCTCACCTGTCGTGGACGTGGTCACCTCCTCGCCCTCGGAGACAACCTCTCAACTAATCTGAAAGTTTTCCTCCAGGAAAGAAACGTGGCCCCCCCTCCCCTCCCCCCCTCCCACACACAACTGGGCTGGACGGTAGTGTAACTGATCTCGCTATATGCAGATCGATGTTCAATCCCCGACCGTTCAAGTGGTTGGGCACCATTCCTTCCCCCGGCCTTCCCAAATCCTTATCCAGACCCCTTCCCAGTGCTATATAGTCGTAATGGCTTGTCGCTTTCACCCCCTAATAGTTCCCTTCCCTGGAAGGGTAGGGAGGGAGGGAGGGAGGGAGGGACCTGTACTCTCCTCCCTCGCCAGGGGCTTCTCTCCTCCAGACAGGAAGATTATCGGAAGAAAAACATCTTCCAACTTTTACTTTGGACGAAATTCTTCCTCACTTTGAGCCTCGACAGATGGCAGCAGTTTAAGTGTAGCTGAGTTTATCGCGGCGTTTGTGTGTGTGTCAACTGTCGATTGAGTGTCAATAGAGACGGTGTCGTCCACAGTGAAGACACTTGTGACACTGTCCATGACAACTCCCATAGGACCCCCCCCCCTCCTTTGGGTAGAAATTAGGGTATTACTTCCTATTTTCTTAATATATATTTTACTGACAACTCCAAGAATGAAAACAAAACAATATATTTACTTAAAAGGAAGAGAGACGAGCATGTACTTTTAGCTTTTTCTCTCTCACAAAATTTAATATTAAGGATTTTTTTTTTTTTTTTTTTTTTTTGTTTATTAAGATATGAGGTACATCTGCATTAGTGCAGCTACCCTAGACTATATGAAGTGGAGTAGTGTGTCAAAAAAGCTAACTAGGTGATGCTAAAAAATCCCCATCACACAGGATGGTTAGTCATACAGAGGCATGTGATAAGCGGTCTATTAAGAAATTGTTTAAAATTGTTCGAAAAATCTATGGAAATCTAAACCTCAATTTCAGTCTTCATCAAAATTACAGAAGGAGGCAATGTGGCAGACCCCAGGCTGCCTATGACAGTCACACACCGCCAATGCATTATCTTGCAAAGTTGGGTGATGTCTGCCGTCTGCGCGCCTGGCAGCTGAGTGGACAGCGCTTCGGATTCGTAGTCCCGAGGTTCCGGGTTCAATCCCCGGTGGAGGCGGTGACAAATGGGCAAAATGTTTCTTTCACCCTGATGCCCTTGTTACCTAGTAGTAAATAGGTACCTGGGAGTTAGACAGCTGCTACGGGCTGCTTCCTGGGGGGAGGGGTGTAACAAAAAAGAGGCCTGGTCGAGGACCGGGCCGCGGGGACGCTAAGCCCCGAAATCATCTCAAGATAACGTCAAGATAACCTGGCCTCCAAAGTTAGACAGACAGACTGAGAGACAGATATTCTCTGATAGATATAGACTGACGTTTTTTGGTTTTAATATAGAGCCGTTATTCAATATTTAACATTATATATTCAGGTTGTAGGACATGATGAAAGACGAGGGTGGAGAACACCCTTGTCATCCCCGCTCCTTATATGATCAATATTATCCCTGTCACACCCCAGCTGGTGACCGCCCTCAGGGGCCCGCACCCACCACCCCTCAACACTGTGTTCCCTCTGTGTGACGGTGTTGCTGAAGTGTGAGGCACTGAAGTAGTACATTAAGTGTGAGGGTATTGCTGAAGTGTGAGGCACTGAAGTAGTACATTAAGTGTGAGGGTATTGCTGAAGTGTGAGGCACTGAAGTAGTACATTAAGTGTGAGGGTATTGCTGAAGTGTGAGGCACTGAAGTAGTACCTCATGTGTGGTGAGAGTATTGCTGAAGTGTGAGGCACTGAAGTAGTACATTAAGTGTGACGGTGTTGCTGAAGTGTGAGGCACTGAAGTAGTTCATTAAGTGTGAGAGCATTGCTGAAGAAATACTGTCTGCTCCACAGTACTTGTACAGTTACAGTACTCGCCCACAGTACTTGTACAGTTACTGTACTCGCCCACAGTACTTGTACAGTTACTGTACTCGCCCACAGTACTTGTACAGTTACTGTACTCGCCCACAGTACTTGTACAGTTACTGTACTCACCCACAGTACTTGTACAGTTACAGTACTCACCCACAGTACTTGTACAGTTACAGTACTCGCCCACAGTACTTGTACAGTTACAGTACTCGCCCACAGTACTTGTACAGTTACAGTACTCGCCCACAGTACTTGTACAGTTACAGTACTCACCCACAGTACTTGTACAGTTACAGTACTCACCCACAGTACTTGTACAGTTACTGTACTCGCCCACAGTACTTGTACAGTTACAGTACTCGCCCACAGTACTTGTACAGTTACAGTACTCACCCACAGTACTTGTACAGTTACAGTACTCACCCACAGTACTTGTACAGTTACAGTACTCACCCACAGTACTTGTACAGTTACAGTACTCACCCACAGTACT